AAAAAAAAAACTCGTCTAGACATGTCCTTCCCACTCTATCATTATCATTCGCTGATTTGCTATAGGGTCGTTCAGATTTGTGTGACAATCAAAGAAAGGGAAGAATTGGCACGAGCTGGGACGAGTGTAACTTTGGGTCACTTTGGGCCATTATTTTTGGGGTTGGGGTTACAAAACTTTTTTCAATATTTTTACTACTTATATCTAGTTGAGGTTTGTGTTGGTAACACCAGGTTTATCACAGAAACACACCTGCCTTACGATAAACCCGCGTTTGATCTTTCGCTGTCCTCATCTGATCGATAAAAAAGAAGTTCTCTAGTAACACTAGGATCTGCAGTGCATGTTTTAGAGGGTTCCTGAACAGATAGAGTCGTGGCTTTCCAAGTACTGTGTGCTGTGCGACGAAGAACTCGGAGATGAAAATCTTCTTCTACCATTCCCTTTGGATCGGAGTAGCAGGTACAAATGCTAAATGTTTATCACAAATCGTGCTATATTTTTTAGAGGTGCTTTTCAGACTTGCGTGGGCAAAGAGTCTCTTTTCTCGGAAGCCTATAAACAATCTTGTACAAAAACAACAGCGATGGGTGGGAATTTTCATTACTGCTTTTCTAATTTTTTCTTTTATTTCTCTCTTTAGCTTTGTGAGCGATTGACTCGAGAAGCAGCAACACGCTATCGTTTGTGCCTTTTCCATTTTCCCAAAAGCAGTTTCTCCGTATCTAAGGACTGTATTGATTTTGATCAAACCTCACAACCTCTCAGTTTGGTGGGTCTTTTCTTCAATTAACAGCCATGTTCGGCGTCCACTATGCTGTTTTTTAGAATATATGCCAGTATGAAAGGATCCCTCGTGGCCCGCAGGGTGTCGTGAAGTGTCCTCTTTGCGATACATGGAATGTTGTGGCAGAAACCACGCAAATTCGGATACCGAGAGGAGCTGCTGAACGGAATTTCCTTGTCGAGTACCTTATCAGCGGTGATAAGTCGGTGAGTGGAATATAAGTTAGGGCCCATGCACGACAGGTTAAATGCTTTCATGCTGCTTGTGTGTGGTGTAATTACTGTCAGAGTGAACGTTCGGCTTCTGTATCAAGAGTAATAGCGTTTATTCATGCTCAGGGAATTGATCCTTTGACTCATTATTATCTAGTTTCCCTTACAATACTCTGGTTATATGTTTTAGCTGTATTTATCGCGGCTGGGTAGCGGTTAGATCTCCGATGGTGTTCCTCACTAAGTGTTCTTCTCACTGGTAATAAATTTCTGAAGTATACTTGGCTTGGTTTATTAGAGTTCGCCATGGTCTTTTCCAGTTATTGCTAAATTCTTGGGCTCATTTATTCTGTGGATTTTGGTCGGGTTTAAACTGGCCGTTGGTGTTATCTATGTAAAAATAGTCTAATATCGAATTGATCGATTAGTATTGAATCACGTTTAACTTGGAAAAGGCTGTTGAGGAAGTTGTCTGAGAAGCTCAATATGATAGGCAGGAAAGGGGGTTGTATAATTTGATTTGTTTTTCAGATATAGTTAGTGGATATTAATAGTTTTTTTATTAGTATGATGGCGCGGCGATGTGCTTCTATGAAGTCGGTAGCTATTGTCATGCGTGGTATGGTGATAATTTATGAAGGTTTGATCTCCTTCTCTCCACGCCATGATAGAATTTTCTTGTGCTAGTTAGTGATAGCCCGCCTTCGAAAAGAGTTGTCTGATGGAAATTGTTGGGTAGTGTATGGTAGCAGTGACGTTGTTGGTGTCGGCTATGACCTATCTTGCACGAAATGACTCCTTCCCACATGATTGCGGTTGGAACGGATAATTGTGGGTGGTTCGATTGCTTTGTCCGTGTAGAGAGTGGTTGTGAGTTACCATGCAACGCAACTGGATAGTTTGAAATGTACACATTTTTTGTAGAATAGAATGCGGTTACTGAATCGCTTATCGTTGGAAGGACGCCACTACATCTGTCCGCAACATTTCCATGTTAATGCTCTTCGGTAGGTAATTCTCACTCACTAATGTTTGGCATAGAAGTTCTCGTCAGCTGCAGAGTTTTCTAAGTCTTTTTTCAGATATATACCTGGTCTTGGTATTTTTAAGAAAGCTTTCTTCCTACCCATTCATGATCCAAACGAGCAAATAATTACTCGAGTACCGGAACCGCAGGTGAGTTTCTCTAATAACTTGTTTGCGGTATGGTCCTTTGAAATACTTGTGGCCATTCATGATTATTAACAGGAGGATGACTATGTTCCACTCTTAATCGATGGATTTGATAACGACAAGGTTCAATGGACTCTCGATTATGACAAAGTGACCAGCGTGGTGGGAGAAACAGATGATGAGATCCATCAAGAACTTGATGATGAGCTGCAGGCGACTACTTCGTTTTCTGGGTTGGCTCATGCGCCGGCTCAAAATCAGGAAGAGGTACAACACATTGATGATCTTTGATGGGAATTAGAAATTATTTCTTATCTTTCAGAGGTGTAACCCAGACGTGGTTGGTGGAGAAAACTACTGCTACGAGCAAGTCAGTGGCGATGCCGAAGAGCTTGACGCTGATGCTCAAATAGTCTCCGTAGACGATGAGCCTCATGTGCTAGTGGAAGAGATGCCTGTTCCGGAAAGGGAAGAAGTAGTCGTTACTGGAAACCCAGGTTGAAATACTACTGGACTTGTGTCTCGGCTGTTACTTTATGACTTCATAATTGAAGCTGAACTTTCAAGAGATTGCATTTCTTGCTTGCTCCAGCTGTGTTGTATTGTTAGATTTGTTAATAATTTGTGTTGTTTGATTTCTAGACAATATATGCATCGATAAACATGTATGGTTCAACAATGTCGTTCGAAACATATAATGCATACGCATAAGACGCGTTATAATTTCTGTTCTTGGTCATCTTTTTGATTGAATTATACCCCAATCAATAGTATTTTGAAATGTACTTGTGTGCATTTGATGAAATCCGTTAAATGTCTGATGCTTTACTGTGGGATTTACCGCTGCTAAATACTCAAGGAAATTCCCCCCCCCCCAAAGGTCACAGTACGTCAAAATGGCGTTCCGCCTGAAGAAAGTCTGATAGTGCGGTATATCGCTTCGCATGCACTGGGATTCACTGAAATACGTGTTATTGTTCACTCTCTGCTAGATGTCTTCTCCCAGGGTAAAT